TTCGTGCAACAGTCGAGGCTGCTGCGTGGCTCTATCACCGTAAAAATCTAATTGTTCCAATTCACACAGCTGTTCAGCTTCAGACATAATGACCGTATATCATCAACTCTCGATGCAAAATTTGATGCTTTCGAATCGGATATTTGCTTCAATAACTTTCCGTTTCCCACTACAAACGCACTTAGGGTCGATGTAAGGAGCAGATCAAACAACCATTTGGCAATTGTGACTTAGGTAATGAAATGTTGTCGGCATTGTCGTCAAGAGGTATTATATCTATGCATTCTCCAATCGCCCGAATGAAATTCGATTAGGCAAGTGTGGGATGTCATCGCAGCGTTACGAAAAGTAACCCACTGCTTATGTATTTTGTTTCTATGTGAGAAAGTGGCAAACGAGCTAGCGGTTCACCTGATGTTAAGTGATAATCGACGCTCATGGACATTTGCAACATCCGTAGGGTTGCAAATGCGTTGCCTTTAAATAAAGTGGGTCGAGTGTTGGTAGTTGCTGCCATAATGTTTGCTACGACGGTTTTCTTCGTACATATCTAGAAAACAATAATAGATCAGTGTATAGGGAGCTGGTGGGCTGTGGCGGGGCCTCGGTGTCCGCCACGTGCGGCCCGGTGTGATATTCAATACGCGCGCCCGATGTTTCTAGGGTTACGTAACGTAATGCCAACTTTCAATGTCGCCAGAGCGCACTACTTGCTCATACGTAGTACGTAACCATCCTCACAGTGCCACTTCGTGTATTACTCGTGTATGTTGGGGACAATTCGACGCGGATTCAGTTCCTAAAGTTACAGTTTTTTTTTTTTTTAATTCGTACGCGGATTCAGATTCTAAAGTTACACTTTTTTTTAAATCGTTATCAAATCCCGTTTTTACAATTCAAAATGCAATACGAAACGTTGGGGACATCAGATTTTGGAACTTGTAACCTTATTTAAAGAGTGGGCAGCATATCTATATAATATAGTCTGTTCTTGTTAACAAAATCAAGACATTATTATTATATTAATGATACAAGAGAAAATTTGGGCTATAGCGGTCCATTGATTTCATTGGGGTTTCAACATGTACAGAATATTTTAAAACTTTGTGTGAGGAAATACATTCGACATAAAGTACATATTATTAGAAGGGAAACGCCTACAGCTTTGTTAATTTTTATAAAACATCGAAAATATTATTTAAACTTCACCGTAAAGGTAGTAAGTAATTCTCACTGACACTTTAATTAGCATTGCTTTGAACTTTTATCGAACAATCATTTTAGTGGATTAGGATTGAGCTGACTCTTTGTGCTCTTAAGAAAAATATGAAGCCAATTAGTGTTACTTCGCACGTGCAAATCGACGGCAGGAGTATTACTATGCAAGTCCGGGTGTCATTCAACAGCGTTGGATGCGAAGCGAACGCTCTGCCGTTCAACAAACTAAATTATTCGCGATGATATCATTATATTAATGATGTTCCCGTACACGCCCGATATCACAGCGCATTCTCATCCGTTCCCAATGGATAGTGCGATAGTGAATAAAAATATATCTAACGTCCTATTTACTAATGTCATTTGTCACAATGACTCAGTTTTGCGCGACCCAATCGGGATTACGCAATCAATTTTGTACTCGCGGCTGTTTGCTTTGTGTTCATATCGAAGTTAGTTTAAAAATAAAGTTTTAACATTCTACATCGGCGAAAAAAAGTAAGCTTTGTCACGAAAGCAAAGTATTTGAAAATGTATATTGTTAACAAATCATATACTCAATGTAGTATTAAGTTTACACAAATCGAATGTCTTACATGAAAAACTTATCCGCTATTTTCGAAGTTAATTAATTTCCCGTTACAAAATCGTGTTGGTAATTACACATATCACAATGACTAAATACGATAATAATGCGATATGATCCTTAATGAACCTATAAACTTCACAGATATGTTGCAAAGCAAATTATAATCTGGTTTCCATTTCTATTCAACCATTCTGGTACCATCATAAAGTAGACAAACCATTTTTCACTATCTGGTTTGCTTTTACTAAAAACATAAGTCGTAAAACATGTTTAAATATAATTATTTGAACGAACGTTTTTAATAAGGCTAAAATTGTCGGAGACTAACGTCTTTTGGGGGGAAAAAAAAAGAAAAAGCAGTCGTGGTGGATTTTTTTTAACGTTTCTAAATTACAAACTGCGAGTATTAAGTATCGACGCAGGTACAGAATAGAAATGACCTGTTTATTAACAAACTTATGAACAGTTTTTAATTACAGACACTACTATTTAATGTACAGTAATTACCCGAACTTTCATGCTAGATCGGACAGAAAGATAATTACGTATATCGAATTTTTAATTGAGAACGGAGACTATAGAAAAGAATAAGGTAGCTTTATGAAATCTAATATAAATAGTAAATTTTTTTTTCTGTCACATAATTTCTTCGTAGCTTGCTAAAATTTGTTTATTCCTTATTTGTTAAAGAAATACGCTCTTTGTTGGAGTCTATATTTTCTAAAACTTGTAAACCTTTTTTAAACTGAGACCTGTGAAATTGCCAAAGGAAACTTATGTTTTTCAATGTCTTACTCTCGCGCGTGTATTTCTATGAGCTCATCAATTGTATTTTTTATTTTTTATTTTATGCGAAAACTTGTCAAACGAGCAGACGGTTTACCTGATGTTAAGTGAATACCGCCGCCCATGGACATCTGCCACACCCGAGGATTACGGGTGCGTTGACAACCTTTTGAAAATTGGGCTCCGGCTACCTCACTCACCAGACGAAACGCGAAAGTATTTGTCACACTTCCACTTTACGCTGGTCTTCTGTGAGGTCGTGGTACTTACCCCGACGGGCCTGCCCATTCGTGCAACAGCCGAGGCTGCTGCGTGGCCCTACCACCGTTAAACTCCTGATTGTGTTTTCTTGCAGTTTTCGATCGTCAGACACCGACTCCAGAAAACGATGATTTGAAGTTTACCTCCCGGTTCGTAAGTCGGGTTAGAGCAAGTCGAAGTATTAACAGTAACATTCAAATGTTATTAGTACATTGAAAACAAACAAATTGTATATATTTAAGGTATTATGTGAAGTTTTTTTCCAAAAGTCGTGATATATATCGATTATTCTTTCATTTACACAATTTTTAATAAGACTTTTTTCTTTAATTTACACAAACATATTCGGAAAGCAAGCAATTGATTAGAGTGCAACGGCCATTTACTGAAGTCTTATTCGAAAAAGTCTCACTGAAATTCTTAGCTAGTATTAAACTGAGCTAGCTACTAGCTAGAGTCAGTAAATCTATTTTGGCCTTAAATATTATAATGGATGTACTATTAAAGAAAAAACCTTATGCAATATAATAAAAAAACAAAATAGACAAGCATGAAAATAAAAGAACACCTTATTACAATCAATTTAGATACTTCCTTCGGGACTTGTAATATATCTCAATTTACATTGACATGTACGCATTAAATATCAAGTTCGATAAAATAGATACCGATTACTGTAACTTGTTCACACTGATGTAAGATCTAAAACTTCATAAAGTAATTCATTAACTCATTTTTCTTTTTAATTTTCTATTCATTGTTTCTTTGGGGTTTGTTACAAATGAAGATGTAGTTTACAGTTGATGATTAAAAAAAACTCAATTTCTCACAAGCTACCAAAGAACAACGTGGTGACAGCACGATCCTTCGACAAAAACGGAGGGGGCGGGCTCATTGAATAGGTACTTAGAAAGTAGATTTTTATACCTTTCACTAACTTGCTTTATTGAACCCTTTCAATAAAATGCCAAGAACACTCGTTTTACGACTGTTACACTTATGTTTGCTACCGCTCGTTTAAGAGTTTTTAACGACCGGTTTTAATAATCTATCTGTAGATTGGGTTACTGGAGATAGAATTTTGACGTGATCCTTATGGAGGTAATGTCAAATACCTATCGCTAGTAACCAAATGTACAGATAGATAGAATATTGTAACCGATCGTAGTCTAAAACCCCTGTTACACAAACAAAATTAATTTCTATCAATGTATTTAAATGGAAGTGTTTTACTTCTGCGTTCCGTTTGGTGAGTGAGGTAGCCGGGGCCCACTATCCTAAAAGGTTGCAACCCTACGGGTGTTGCAAATTTCAATGTGCGGCACTTATCTCTCAACCTCAGGTCAACCTTGTTTGCCACTTTCTCACATGAAAAGCCCCGTCCACCATGCACAATGATACAGCTATTTTTGAATATAAACCAACCGAAAAAAAGAGGGGTCTTTGTAAACAAATGTGCATATCTTTTTTTTTTTTTTGAGTAAAACAGCAGCAAGCTGCCAGTTACCGATTGCTGTAGTTACGATACTCTAGCCTTTAACATAAAGCAAATAGAAAGTGGAAGTGGGTCGCCTTCGTCGTTATCTATAGAAAGTAGATTCGACAGACTTTACGTGGCACGATAACTTTGTCTTGTTACATAGTCGAACAGTTTTTGAACTTTATTTACGTCAGTCTGTTAATATGTTTGTCAATATGATACACGGAAAATAGATTGTATTTTGGTTGTTCCAGCACTTTGGGGCATCAAGTTAATAAAATAAGGTATAAAAGCGATTCTTCCTCCAAGACTGCGTATCTACCTATTCGACGTAGGTTATCTCCAAGAAACAGAAACAATTTAGCAATGAATAACTGAAATGTCTGGGAAACTTACTAAGAGCGCTTTGTAATGGTGACTGCAACTTTCTATTTATCAATCGCGGAAGTCCAGAATGGATAATTTTCCGCATGGCCGCTGGCGCAACCTGATTTCACAGAGCAAGGCGGTTGCACGCCAATCTCGCCGTTCTGACCTGCTGCAGCGATTGATGACGCTCGATATGTACACTCGAGTTACAGGTTGACTCTAACTGCTCAGACAGCGACAGATTGAACACCTAAACGTCGGCAACACATAGCCGACATTTTGAGTCTAAGGATTCTATAAAGATATAGACCTCACCAGGCCCCCTAAAAGTTTGTATGCGCAGTTACCGATGAGGTCTTTGGTATTGCCTGATGGATTAAGACGAGGAAACGGCCGGGGCCGGGGTTGGTGCGTGCGCGGGAGTCGCGGGGAGCGACCTTGGCGCGGTCGGGCGCGTGAATCACCGCGGCGAAAGTGGGAGAAATGCGCCGCCGCGCCCCGCGCGCGCCGCTCACTTTTACTTTCCAGCGTGGCGCAACCGACGGCGGCGCCGCAGCGCCACTCGCCCGGCGCCCGCGGCCCGCAGCGCCGTCGCGCCGAATCACCAACGCGCTCCCGCGAACGTGCCAGTGACTGTGCCCGGATTACAGTGCTACATAGTGCCAAGCAGCCCCTGGATTCAGTTTGTGCGCGCGCGGCGAAAGTCGTAACCGGGTCGCCGCCGCCGTATTGTGCAAGCGCGGCGCGGAACACGCGCGCGGCCTCGCACTCTCCCGCAGGAAGGCACAGGTGCGCCCCCCGTCCCGGGGCAGCCCGTGAGCGTCGAACGCCGTGGAAACGGGCACGACCACATCCCGCGCATGCCTGGCCCGCTGGCGACGCAGTGAAGGGGAGTCGAGTGGCGTTAGCGCGCTCGAAGCGCTCAATTTGCTCCGCCTCCGGCCGAGCTTCGGCTCAGGTGTCGGAAACGCAACGAATAATGAAGTGAAATATCCAAGGACAATACAACTTTCAAGTGATTTCGCGCGCGGCCGACAATAAAAACTTGGTAACGCGCCTGCGCAACCTCACGGTCTCACTTTCGACGTCTACAACGGCGCGGGCCTTGCTCGACGAGCCGCGCTTTCGATAGTTGTTACAAAACCTCCGGCGTGGCGGTTTTTCTTCACTAAAATTCTCATCGGCCGTTGCGTGGACCTGAAAGAAAAAAACTTGATGTGTTAAGTTCTTAAGAATGTGTCACTTACAAATGTAATCTCCGAGGCGTTCATCACGCGTATGCTCTCGTTGGCATCGCACCTCGGAAACCTTGCTTTTGCCGTGACCAATACAAAACTCGTTGCTATTACTAGAAACGCGTTACCAGCAATTGTCATCATTTAGCGTAACTGAAAGGGACGCGGTCCAAGGCCAGCCGCTAACAAAATTTAGTTTTATATTAATAAGTGGCCGCCACGGTCGATCGTGACAGATCCAAATGTAGATGCCGACGAATTGCAATGTAATTCGATTGCTCCGGGCAGAAACACTTTCACGCTAGACACGGGCTTGTAATTGATATTGTCGAAACCAATCGCTAAGAGATGCAACCGTTTTCAATGGGATAATTGAAAGATAACCACGAAACGTTCAGTATTCAAAGGTTTTAATGAGCTGGAGCAAAGCTATTCAAAACAAAACCTTATCTTAGTACGATAACAGCATAATTTCCTTACGCACATACTATTATAGTTTCTCGTCGATTTTATTACAAAAACTTTCCAATACCACGCATCACACATGAAATCGTTCATTTCAAATCGGCATACTAAGTAGGGCCATAAAGTAATAACTGTTAATTACGCAATAAACACATCGGGGCTTTCGTTTCCGAACGAGACCGTCAGTGGGCGCGTCTTCGAATGTCAAGATTGAGATTAACGTATTGTGATGCGATTCGCGAGTGACAAAAGCCCAATACGGGCCTGCATTTATCACTTTCACCCGGCGAAAGCGCCGTACCAAAATTCTCGGGTGACTCCGCACCGACAGAGATCCTTATTGAGACAGAACTCTTATAGGTTGCAATCGAAAAGTAGCTTTGTACGCCTCAAAGTTTTAGTAACGTCGATAAATTTCCCTTGCAACGACAAAGTTTCTTATTGCCTTCTGTAGCGAATATTTAAGTGTCAATATTAAAATAACGAATAATCTCCCACGACTTTATTCCCAAACGGTCAACGCTCGTAAAATATTCATAGTCAAATTGAGTATATATCAGCGTTTGTGAGATACACGTGGTTATAGCCGGCGTTCTAGGTGGAGCCAAGAACCAGTAATGCGTTTCGACATCGTGACATTCCGTCGGCTGTCTTTTCGACTTCGCTCTCAAGAAACACTTCCTTCGTAAAGACGCGTCGAGAGCTAAATTTTCTGTATTAAACATTAATTGACTATTCTATTATATGCACAACTTCGGATTGAAAAGATAATAATGCTCGTTATTTTTTCACAGAAATTTTCAATAGAATATTTTTATTAAATTAACTATACAATAATAATGGCAGTTTTTAATTCCATTATATTATCTATATGAACAATTTTATTCAATGCATGCGATTTTAGTAAATTGGTTATAACGGACAAATAGAGGAATTGCAAAAAGAAAACTGCTGCCATTATAATTACGCGCGTTTTGATATCGCGTAATCCTTATTTGAATTTCATTGTCAATGAACATAGATAAGAAGAGAAAACATTAGCATTTAATTTACCAGTGAAAATTGATTCAAACAATAGTTGAAACAATACGAAATATACCTTAAATTAAAAAAAAATCAGTAAAACACTTGCATTACACGACTTTTACTTGGTATCATCATCGTAGGTAGTTTACGACACATCTTTTTTATTGCGCTGAAATCATAATGTGAATCATTTTTCGGTAACGTTGCGCAAATATGGTCATTAGAGTTGACACGACAATTTTTCCGGTATTTGCGCCTCGAGAACAGGCTAAAAGTGGACCGTTCGGCCACTTTAACGTGCTATCCATATTTCACTCGGCGCGGACAATTTGCAAAACTGCGAACGGACCATTGTTCTGCATTACAAATGAAAACGCCCGCGGCCGCCCCACTGACAGATAGATAATTCCGTCCATGACAGACCGCTATTAATTACCAACAGACGGCTCTATGTTTTCTGCTCTGTGGCCCATTATTCGAGTGGTACGCGACAGAATCGACACTGTTGCACGCTTTTCCGCGTGCACAAACAAAACAAACAGCACGCGAAAGGTGGCTCATCAATGTGGGAGCCGCTCACTTTGTTACGGAGCCGCGTTTCAATAACAACATTGATATTAAACGGGCAATCGGAAAAACGAGACGCAATTAATGCGCTTCGCACAGAGCGGCTCGTGAGGAATTTATGTAAGCTGCGCCCCTGGAAGAAGTTTGAGCGTCGATTAAATAAGCGCGTTCGCTAGACAATGAGAGTGTGGAAGCGAAAGTGAAATGCTGTTACGTTGTCTGAGCTGCACGAGCAGCGCTCGCACAGCTTTCGATATCAATGGTGTTTCGCATGACACGCTTTGTTGCCTCGATCTGGGCTCATTTTTACTAAACGTCGTGTAACGTAGAGGGACTAAGCCGTCTTAGTCCATCCCGTTCTGATTTAAAGGCGTGAAAGTTGATTTAACCTAATAACGGCCCGTTTCAATATTCTATCTACAGATAGATTTGGTTAATAGCGATAGGTATTTGACATTAGCTACATAATACTTGCGTCTAAATTAGATTTGATACTTGCGTCAATATAGATTTACAAATCTATATGTACCTCGTGTAGAGATTATTAAGCTTACTCTACTTACTAATGTGAAGTTATAACCTCAATTATTCTATAAGTCCAACCCGTTAGAACAATAGCGTATTAAAGTGTTCCCGAAATAAAATACTGTACGTTTTCTAACTTGAATAAAAAAGTCGTTTCAAGGATAAGTACTATTTGATAAGATAATTAGAGTAAGAAAATCAGTTCTCAACTAGAAAGTACCCCAATAGTTTTGTAATCGTCCTATATTTTCTATAAATATTGTCGATATAAAGTTAGACGTTGTTATGTTCCATTAACGTAACAGATTTTACGAATACAAAATACACAGCCCTAAGTAATAGTACAACATCAACAAACATTGGTATGTTTCCATATTTTATTGCACAACTCTTTCCAGTCATTGTATCGTAAACAACACTCGTTGAAAACGTAGAATAATACTTTTGTTTTCACACGAAAATACGAGTTCTCGGAAAACGACTGTGGAGTAAAATTGTATCAATTCAGACTCAATCTAGTAATTCCTCTTTCCCACATTTCCTCATTCGGAGTTGCGCAAAACGCTTCCTCGCTCGTTAATTCGACGGACCACCCACGCCCGCTACGTGCCAAACTGCTAAAAACATTATCAACTTTCGTTGCATCATCATTGTCATCGACAATTATTGTTCTGTTTGCGCAGCCGCCGCCATTTGGTATAGCAATTTAACTAACTGGTCAACCAATTAACTACCCACCAGATTTACATCTTGTTTCCAACCTGTACCTGGCCGGATTTGTCGATGGTGCATTTATTTGGTGCAACTAAACCTTACCGACCGCGTAGAGCGGAACAACAATACGCCACATTTCATGTGATAAGTAAAAACGTCCAATCGTCCTAGTTCGCGGTAAGGAGCTACGAACGCAGCCGTTGAAAGATCGCCGTTCGAAAACGAACGCGCAGTACATACAGCGTGGATTCATCGTTCGGCGGATTGTGCCGTCGGCGTGAAGTAGGCAACGGCGTAGGCGATGGCGGTACACATTGCAACGTGCCGATTCGCATCCAAGGTCTTTCCTAGTGGAAGAGAACGGAGTTTCCTGCGGCCGCCTATCTCCGCGCACACCGACGCGGGCGCACGCACACGCGCGCACGTGTCGCCCGCTCTTTGTGCTCATTCTTTCCTAGCTACCGTTGCGGGGCATCTTCTTTTTGCGCCGGCCGCCGGCGTTTGAGGGCTCGAGCTCTGAGCATTTTGTTATATAGGCGACGGCGATGCGCGGCGCTCAGTTACTGTGTCACTGGAGCCCGCGCGAGAGGTGGCCTGCAAGGACCGCGCCGCGCCGCCAACCTTTTTTTTTTTCTCTCTGTGCGTGCGATGTTTTCACTTTCGTCATTTTGACCGGGCCAGTTTGATTTGACGTCGCCGGCGCACGGACGTGCCTAGGATCGGGCGTTGTGATAATCCTGTGACCGCCAGTGCTCCGCATTCGGATTGTTGTTGTTGCTGCCGCTGTTGTTCGTTCTGTTGTTTATTTATTTATATATTTATTTATAACGTTTTCGATTCTGTGAGAGAAATGTTGGCTGTGATGTGTTGATGATGTTCGACAACAACGTCCTGTTGAATCTGTACAATGAGATTGCGAATAGAAGTGCACTACAGTTGGCAAGGTGAGGCTCTGTTTGTTTACTTTTTTTTATTTTTTCGTTCGATTTTCTTTTTCTGTGTCGCGTCCCCGTGGAGCACACCGTCCGCTCGGCGGTTCGGCGCAGCCTTGTGTCTAATGAGTTCGCCGCGACGCCTCATCCGCCTCGGCTGCGCCTGAGCCTCGCTCGGAGAGGTTAATAGGTTCACATTAGATGGTGGTCTTGCGAAATAGCCTAGCCGACAGCCAACGCGCCCGCGCCCGCTTTCCGCGCTCGGTTTCGCGCGCATTCGAAACGCAAAATATCGAACGCGCCCCCAATTGTGACCTGTGCACTGTGCACTGTGCACAACTCCTGGTCGGTTCGCGCGGACGCTCCGTAGAAGTTGACAATGGACGTCTTGTTCCAATTAACAATTAATGTCCACATTGGCATCGGATACCTCGATTTTAATGCCAAACGTCGTATGACCTATATTTGTTTTTTTTTTTATTTTTATAATAAAATATCGCCGCGGGAAAATGAGTAATGACTTTGAACGTTATTTACCAGTTGAAAGAATTAAAAATTTAAATATATGGTTACTGGTAATTACTAAAACTATATTATGGTGAATATGTTATCAATTCATTTTAAAGCCGATTTAAAAAGAAATGTGTTGAATAAAAAGTATCTATTTGGTAAAAATAAGCATGTAAACTTATGAAAAAGAGCAATTTATGTTACTTTTTACTTTTATTCCTGAAAGTATAGCCTACTAGGAGCGCATGGCCGATATGGAGTGTCAGCAAAACGAAAACATATTATATTTATCAATGTTTATCGTGTTGTCTGTAGCTACCGTTTCGTCACCTTGGAGGCCTATGCCTAATCTATCGATAACTATTTATTTTTAATTAAAAATAACCAACAACTCTGCGATGGGTTCACAATAATTTCCTACAATTGATAATTCGTAGGTAGTTATTATAGCCACTGATTAAATAAATTGCTCCACAAATTAAAATAATTAGAATAGCTATTGATAATACAGATAATTGATAAAGAGGCAAGGATTTTTTCTGGGGATTTTTATACAAAGTTAATGTTAAACATGTTTACTAAACCTTTATGACAGCATGTGGTCCATAATAGAGGCCGCGCATAATTTTTGTTATTCGTCTTAAATTAAGGTTTTCAGTGTAAATATTAATCAACATAACACGTCATGTGTTTGAATATACAACTAAATAAACGGTTAAATAGTATACAAAATGTCGAATACATTTAGCCTCATGACAGAACTAAGCTCCTATGTTTACATTGAATACTGTCCTACTTCTGATTACTATTGACTCTATATATAAATACACAAACGTTGAACATATAAGTACCTTATCTAAATATAAAAGACGGAATATTAAACTGTCGTAGTTTAAAAAATACTAGGGCTTAGAAACATGTTTATTTTTCACATTCACATTATTGAATTAAACTAAAACTAGCGATAAATTTTTAAATTTAGTTTATGTTAATAACATATTTTCCATTAAAGCAGCTAATAAAGCAAACATACAAACATGATTTTTTATATTAAATAATTTCCGACTAATTAATATTTTCAAACTATAACGATATGCATCAATGTGACATTATAAAAATTGCAACTTCGTTACTTTCTTTACATGTTAAATAACGCAACTGCCGAAAACAGGTAGTTGATAAATAGATTTTGGCCAATCTTGTGTGTTCCGACGTAATATTTTCTTTTTATTAATTATTACAACGGCATTGAACTTTACAATCGATGTATTTGCGTTTTTACGTCTAACAATCTCTCGGCGCTAAAAGTGTATGTTTGATCAATAATTTTCCGATGACATCATTGCGTGCTTTATTTTAAACACATAATTAATAATTCGAGCATTTACTATATTATGACTACAAAAATTGTTAAAATAAAATTTAATGAATATACAACTATACCGGTATCGTGAAAGTTCTAACAAAATTTAACAGTACGAAAGTTGATAATGAATTGTACAAAACACATTATTAGACTGAAATATATATATATATATATATATATATATATATATATATATATATATAGAGCCGTGATAGCTCAGTATCCGGGCGCTCGCCTTTAGTTCAATATACTCGAGCAACCTGAGTTCGATCCCCGATGCCGGCACTAATGAAGTTTTTAACTTGAAGTGCTGACTTATCACGTGCTCCGCGGTGAAGGAAAACATCGTGAGGAAACCTGCATATTTTCGAAATAATAACAAAAAAATATATATTTCAAAAATATGTCAATTCGCAATCCGCAGTGGGGCCGCGTGGTGGACTATGCCCTGATACCCTATATACAGAGGAGGCCTTTTCCCAGCAGTGGGACATGTATTGGCTGTTACTTTATATATATAGTTGCGTTTGTATCAAATTTTTAAAACAATACATATCAAGTTAATGAAGATAAAACTTATAATAAATAAAAGCAAATTAACTTAAAAAGATTTATACTATTTTACTGAGTGACTGAATTAGTTATGAGTTAACAATTGAGCCCATTTTCTGAAACACTGATCATCGTAAAAGTGAACTAAACAGCTCTCAAATGGATTTTCAAATGTTATTTGAGTTGCCAAAGTAATTGTTAAACTCTCTGAATTGATCCCTACCTCGTAGAATTTATTTAATGAAATCGCATGAAAACTACATATGTTTGTGTTACAATCTCCATGAATATGTAAATTTTAGTATAGACCTTTTTTTTAAACGTACATGATCTGTCGGTTTAAGTTCGTACTCGCATTGTGAACAAAACATTCGTTAACATGTTTCCATTTGAGAAAAAAATTAAGTTCTTATCAATATTATCAAAATCAAACATCCATCCATACATACAAACTTTCACCATCATAATATATATAAATATATATATATATATATATATATATAATCATATATTCATCTTTCACGTTTATAATATTAAATATAGTAAGGACAATAGGACATAAAAAATATTCAAACTGAACTCTTCGCTATTTTCCTAAAAATTCATTTTGATGCAGAAAATCTTAGTAATTTGTCATGGTGACTAAATTTATTAGTCAACCAAAACTATTTTCCTAATTTTTGGTGTAAATCATGGTACCGGTTGCTCTTATAATTAAAAGGTTTGGACCATTTAAAATATCAGCAGTGAAGTATATTTATTATTTCAACGTTATAACGCATTATTTTTGTTATACCATTTAATAAAAATAATATTTTCCGTAACATAACATGATATTGAATAAATTGGTTATTTAATGGCGTATATACGTTACGATAGCATTTTAATTACTTATTGAACAATAACACAATTTTCCGTGTCTAACAGTAGGGTTGGCGATCTACTGACGCCTAATATTGAGACGTATTTTAAATTACTCCGAACTGCCAGAAAATATTATCATAATAATATTGATTGCTTCGATTTTTCTGCTATACGTATTATCTTAGTCTTTGGCTTATTCGTCTCATCAATTCTGTCTTTATAAAGTGTCATCCACCTGCCACCCATAAATTATAGACAATAATTACAATAGAATAAAATATGTAATACGACATTTACATATTAAACGTAATTTTAAGTTTCTTCTCGATATGAAACGTGGGAAAGGGGCGCATAATTTTATTATTTATTTATTACAAAAAACATTTTTAGGAAACCGTCGCCAAAATTTCTGCGTTCTGTCATAGCGTTCTTCCATGGGGTTGTTTACTATTTATCGAATAAATAATTACAGCTTGTCCGATACAACGCGCAATTGGCAGCGTGTAAAAAAACCGTTGGGATGCACAAAGTGGTTGGGCCTCACCTGTCCACGATGCATCTAATAATAGACAAGCTTCTACTGAGCGGTGCAGTTTAGCCCAAATTTGAACTAACCTACTTTACTCACCATGCCGGAGAGACAAATACACGTAAAACGTGGGACAAGTTGAAAAAAAAAACCGCTTCTTACAAAAATGTCAAGTAACCAGTTTGATTGCGAAATATATAAAAAAAAAAAAGAAAAACGCACTAAAAGTTGTGAGCAATTTCAACTTGTATTGGAACGTTACAAGCCCTTTCGTGTTTAGTCAAGGTCCGCTCGTATATAGTTCACACGACATTTTATCATTTACACGTGGTACGAAACTATTTTTCGCCGCTTGTTCAAACTAATTACGGGCAAAAGGGCCCATGTTTAACCAGCTAATCTATCCGTGACAAATAGTTACCCTATTAACCGCAAAATGTTACCAATTAGTCCACAAACTCCGGCACAATTATTTCGTTGCTTTCCTGGAAGTAGGTACCTTGGAGTGCCAACGCGTCTGCTATTCTATTAAAGTCTATTAAACGCAGAATATTAATTAATAGGAAAATGTATACTCGGTTTCAATATTCCTGTTAAGTGACTTCCCTCGTCAGTTAAATGATAACGCTAAACTTAATGAAAACGGTGAATGACTTAAAGTTTTTCTATAAAAATTGTTACAAGGTTAATTAACGTTGAAGCAGAAGAACACCTGACATTTTCTTCTTGATATTTTTCGAATGTATTTATGTTTATTAAGTTTCGTTAAGATTTCTTTATTTCTTATACACATAAAGGTTTTCTTTAGGTATAAATCTAGATATTAAATTGTACGTATCGTAACACACTCCTCAAAGCGATGACGTTCTCCCATCGCAGCCCTTTACTCTGTAATTATTCATAGTCTAACAATGCCACATGTATCTATCTGGCAACTTCTCAAAACCACGTTTGTTATTTAATATTTGACCTCAACGCTCTAAAACATTCACTAAAATTAGTGACATTACACACTGCGCTGATTTCTTTTGATTTTCTTCGAACAATCATGATTATTTATAAATTCTAATTAACTGATGAAATATTTCACGTCTTTTCCCTTCGTCTATTGTTTAAAGACCGTGTATTGTCTAAATTTTTAATAGTTGGTCCAAACATTAACCTTCGTGTAATTTGTCTAGTTACTGTTTTCTTTAAACCATTACTGTTTACTACTATAACTATTTAAATTTCTTAATATATAAATTATATATATAAATATATATAAATATTCAGGAAACATTTTACTCTGCAAATTTCCATGAAGTATTGATTCGCGACGGTCGCGCCGTTTTACATTATAGAAAATAATACACGCGGGCAACGTAAATAAAGCTCGGTCCACACATCCAACGCTCAAAGAAACTAGGTTTACAACTTCGGAACACAAACATTTCTAAAATCCTAAACGCAAGAG